CCTCCATAATCTTAGTCAATTAAAATCATTCGTATGCATATATAATTTGCATAAAATCACCTGAACATTAAATATTTATTTGCAGCTTATTCTATGAAATGCTCATAAAGTTCAAGATAAAGCGCCAAGCCGGAGGTTTTTCTTTTTTAATGTGAAACGAGACCGAACTTGAAATAAGATAAAACAACACTGTGAGAAATTCGAGTATATGATATTATTTCTAAATATGCAGAATTAAATTAAATATTAGCTAGTATTGAATATGAATATATAAATGAAAAACTAATTTAAAATAAATAGAATTTTAAATTTTATATTGTTTTGGTATTTTAATTTTGTAATTTATTATACATTAAAAATTGTACATGCTAGACAGTGCAGTAATTAAAATAGTTAGTTTATCGTTTGATTTCCTATTTGTATAATACTTCCATATTTAACTTTCACATCTATAATAAAACCTTATTTATCCCTTTTTATAGCTGCAGGGTATACACATTCATACATAAAAAGTCCATGACTCTAACTTATGGGCGTCTCCAATAAAATTCAACTGATTTGCATAAATCAACCGAAAAATATTCAAACTCTTTTACATTTTTAATGAACCAAAAAAGGGTGAAAGAACATATTCGTGTACTCCTCTTTTATCGTCTATGACTTTTATCGATTTATGTTCGTCATAAACATAAATTTTATGACGTTAAGTTAAAAATTGTGCCGACGATTAAATGTTAATTAAAATGCTAATAAATTGATTTTAAAGTGCTCGGTAATTTTTTAATGAAATTCATAAAATGCATGTTTATCATAATATATGAAATAAATTACAACAAGTTTTATGAAGTACGGTAAAGATAACCACATTACAATATTTGAATTTCAATTTTTAAATTAAACCCGCTAGGCAACTGTTTATAATCAGCGCTGAACTAACAGTGCTGTAAAGCGCTAAATGCTGTTGACGATGTTAGAAAACTGCCGATATTTATATATCGATATGTAGTTATAACAAAACATATTGGACAGTCACAGGTTGACATTCAAATGAAACTATTTTATTATTGCTTTCATCATCTTGGGTTTGCGAATTAGCAAAATGTATAGAATGGATATTCAGCTAAATTTTCTATTATTTTATATAAAAACTTAATTATTTAAATAAGAGTTCACGTTGAATTTTATGTCATAAGGACAGTGATGCTAGTAACGTAAATTTCGGAACTGTTAGGAGCTGCTATAATTAAACCTTTAAGATTGGTAAGCTAATGCAGGTTTAAATTTAAATAAATTACCATTATAATTCATTTATAAATTAAATAAGTGAGCTAATAAATTAATATGAATATTTAATTCTGTCAGTAGCTCAAAACAGGAATGTTTATTCGTTTACAGTTCACTTGCTGCTGTTAACATAACATTTGAACAAAATGTTAATTTTTCTGATGCCGAAAACATATGTTTGACGAAGAAGAATCAGGGACTTAATTTATCAACACACGATGGAGGACCCTTTGAAGCCCAAGCCAGTGCCGCTGGCAGCGGAAACAGTATTGTGGTTCGAGTTTCTCCTAGATCCAAATAAAATCACAGAGCATTTGCAATGCAAAAATCCCGGTACGTGGATACTGTGAAATCTGATCCAAACTTTACTGATCTAAAATTGGCCACCAAATTCTTGCAGAACCCAGCGCCGTGGAACTCATCATGCAGTTCATCAGCATGACACCGGACACGGCAATAGCGTCCACTGTGGTAACGCCGGGAAGTGATTTGCAGAATATAAGTGGCGCGAGCGTCGGCGCCAATGCCACCACCCCAGCGGCCTCCGCGGCACTCAATGTGCCGCTCCTAACACAGCAGCAGCAACAGCAGCATCAGTTGCAGTTGACACGCAAACAGTTGGCCCTCAAGATCCTGGAGCTAAAGGTGGCCACCTGGCTCAGATGGGATTTGGATGCCCTGGAGAAGGGTTTGCCCGTGATCATGCAGCTGGGTCTACTGCGTGATCTGTGCACCATTAGCTACGGTCGCATCGTCAGCATTCCTTTTCTCAATGATTTCGATCTAAAGATTTGTATGCTCCCTCGAGACTATGAATATAAACTTGTTTCATAGCAATCTCTATTGCAGCGCCCACGGGCAATGAGCGTGCAGCGCGCTTTGCCCTCACCATCTACCACAGGATGGTACTGCGGCTGCAGCTCATCAAAGACAGCGCACTGAAGAGTCCACGGCCACCCATGTAAGTCCTAAATATACATATTATGAGTACCTTTATATTGAGTGAGCTTCTCTTGAGTAGGTTTCAGACCGTTGATCAGCTGCAGCAGTTTTTGGACACACCCACCCAACCTTCCATCGAATATCTCGAGCAGCTGTGCTCGCCGGCGGCAGCCAGCAAGCCTTTCTATGTGTTTCACTACGACAGCTTTGTAGCGCTGCAGTGCGACGCGCTGAGCACGGCTCAGAACTATGACCTGATGCACCTGATTACGCCCCAAGAGCTGCGCGCCCAGCTGCAGTATGAGCTGGCCCATTACTACCTCCACACCAAGCAGTACGTGCTGGCCCGCGAGGCGGCGGCTGCTTGCAACGCGAGTCTGCAGGCGATTCCCGCCGGTGCGACGCGCTACTTTTGCCACGTTCGCGCCGAGGAGCTGGAGGGACTGCTGCAGGCCTGCGGAATCAGTGCGCAGCAGCAGACGCTATTGGAGCGCTTCCATCAATCCCTGCTCAACAGCTATGCGGACATTATTCCCATACTGCGCCAAGATAATCGCGCACGCGAAATTCCGCTGGTGAGCCGGCGTAACGTCGAGCTGGACATTGAGGGAGCCATCTCAACGGGGCTGCTCAAGGAGATGCCACCGCAGCTGTTGCTGCATGTGGCCGCTCTCAATGTGGTGCGCACCGTCTTCGAGTGGGGCAACATATTTGGCAGCGTCGAGTACTTTGAGAAGTATCACGATCTGGACTACATGCCGCCCATCATGGAGGCAATGCAGGACGCGCTGACATACTGCAGCCATGTGGAACAATCGGCTCTCAAGCATTTTCTCATCGACTGTGTGCTGCACCAGCAGCAGAAACAGCAGATGGAGCAGAGTCGACAGCTGCTGCACACGCTGCGCGGCATGGCTATCTTCTCCAGTGAGGAGCTGGTCGACTTGGAAGAGCAGCTGGTGCAGGCATCGCTGCCAGTGCTGAGCAATTCCTTGGCCACGCTTAACGATTGGATTTGCCACTCCAAGAGTGAGTCTCAGCTTTAACTGTAAAGCCGATCACTTTTTAATCCCAACTCATTTTCTTGCTCTCAGTGACCCGCGTCGATGTTGCCGCTCTGGAGCGCCAGCTGATTAGCTGCACCAATGCGAATAGCGTGCGCATACTGCTGGTGAAACTGTGCGGCACGGCGCCCGGCAAGCCACTGTGGGCCATCAATCCCAGCTGGGATGTGCCGCAGCCGCTGAAGGCGTTGATCATGGCGATGCCGGTTAGCTTCCTGCAAGACTTCAGCTATGTGCTGCTGGGCAAAGCGCGTGAGCTGGCGACACGTGGCAGCTACATTGACGCCGTATCCATGCTGAGTGTGCTCAAGTCCGAGACGCAGCGCCAGGAGCTGGGCAGCAGCGCGCAGATGATGTGCAAGCTGATAACGTGGGAGATCCTGCACATACAAATTACGCAGTGCCTGGACGAATGGCATCAGAAGCCACTCGACTTGCAAGCGCTGGGCACGCGCTGCAAGCAGTGTCTGGGCGCATTGCAGGCGGGCGACTCCATAATGCCAAGACTGGAAATCCTGGAGAGCTGCGCCATCATGCTACTTAATCTAACCGATTTTCCGCCACTTCTTTACCTCGACAAGCGGGCACAGCAGCTGGAGTTGCCGCTGGCCTTTGCGGCCACCTTCATTGAAATGGAAAAGATGAAGGGCCCCAAGAAGGTGTGCCGCGACGCCTGGGAACTGATGCTGAGCATGTTCCTCAATGTGCCCAAGCGGGCGGCTGCCGCCGGCGCCGGCATCGGCGCCAGCAGCGCGCTCCAAGCATTCCTGCAGCGTGTGCGGCATCAGAGTGTTTTCGGACTGGCCATATCCATGCTCGGCAAAATGCACAACATACTGAAGGACGATCCCAATCACGATCTGAGCTGCGAGTACATGCAGCTCTGGCCCACCAGCATTAACAAGTTAGTCCACATAAATCCCCATATATATAAATAACTCACCTCTGATGCATCTTTCCAGCCCGAATGGTTACAGCCTGCGCAGTGTTTCTGAGACGCTGCAGTGGCTGCTCTCGGAGGCGCTCAGTTATTATCCGCAGACGGTCTCGTGGCTGAAGATGAAGGGTGATCTGGAGCTGGCCATTGGCAACAATGAGTCCGCGATGCGCTGCTATGTCAACGCCCTGGTCACCGGCACCGACTACTGTACCATGCCGCTGCAGCGGAATGTGGCCGATGACTATGTCATTAGGAAGATGATTAGGTGTGCGGCCAACCTGGGCTGCCACATGCAGGCCACCGTGCTCTGTCAGTTTCTCGATGAGATCGACTATGGTATCGTCTTCAAGAATCTCACCGAGAAGTGCTCCAATTTCACAGATGCCATGGATGCCTACTACAGCTGCATATGGGACACGACGCTGCTCGAGTTTATTGTCAATCTCCATGCCAAGCGAGGCGAGCACAGCCGCAAGCTGGAGGCGGTAAGTCTGAATGCCTCAAATAGTTCGTCATTTTTTACTGATTAAATTTCTCCTCTCGCTCTGTAGATCTCAATGATGGGCACCTTGGAGCTGAATGCCAACAACAATGAAGAGATCAAACGAGAGAGCGCCATGGTTCGCAAATCGCGCTTCTTGCGCGCCCTGGCCAAGCAGTATTTGCTGTAGTTGCGGGCGAGGATGCCGCCCGATCCTCGCTAGAAACTACACCCACAGCACACCCACATCCACATCCACGACCAAGCCCACTTCGAAGACCAATTAGAGTTTAAGCTTCAAGAGTTTTTGTAATTGTACGACGATTAGTTTCTAAGCTTAAAGTGTTAGCAATATGATTTTGTGGTTAAATTAAAGAAATTTGTATTTTTTCGTTGGGAACTGGTTGTTATCTTAGATTACTTTGGTCTCCTGCCGCGTGCAGCACCGCTGCCGCCGCTTGTCTTCGCCTTCTTATTGTTCGCACTCTTCTTGATCTCCTCGGCCTTCCGCTTGGCCGCAGCAGTGGCGTTGGGCGAACTGGGCAGTGCCTTGAAGAAGCTATCGAGTCGCACCTGCGTCTGTGACTGCTTGGACTTGAGCAACTTTCTGGCACCATTGCGTACGCGTTCTTCGTTGAACTGGCGATCCCCGCAGAGGAACTGCACCAGGCCATCCTCGTCGGGAGCCGTCCATTTCAGATCAATTGTGCTCGCGTCTGTTACTTCTGGCTCCACAAACAGCTCGCGCGCTCTTTGATAGTTCCAGTTCTCTGGCACTATATATTTGCTGGTGTCAATGTTCTCCAATATGGTCTCAATGTCTCGATAGGTTTTGATGAGCTCTATGGCGCGCTTGGGTCCGATGCCCTTGATGCTGTCGCAGTAATCACATCCCATGAGAATGCACAGATCGATAAACTCCTTGCTCGTTAGCTCCAGGCCCTGCAGCACCTTGTCGTAGCTGAACTCTTTGACGGGCATCTTACGCGCTTCGCTGTACGTCAGGTAACGGAGCAGCTTGCAAGATCCAAAGGTTAGTGCGTCCATATCTTCCGTTGCCGTGGCATACACTTTGCCTGCCTTGACTAGAGCAGCGCACTGGGCCTCAGCCTCGCAGGGCGCATCCACGTATGGAACACCCATAAGCTTAAGCAGCTCTTTGGCTTCGTTCGAGTGCTCCTTGGTGACACGCACTAAGCGACGATTGAATTTCTCTATCTCCGCCTCGTCGCCCGCGTCGGTGGCGACTTTGAGTGCCTTTTCAGCTTCCTCGCGTCGCTCGGCGCGCTTGGCAAGCTCACCAGCCTTCAAATCTGGCGGCTTTCCATCGAAGACGTAGACCGGCTTAATGCCATTGTCGAGCAGCCGAATGGTTCGATAGAACATGCCCATCAGATGTGAGGTTGGATCGCCGTTAACAGTAGCCAGCTGGGCGCCCTCGGATCGAACCGCAATTAAAAATTGGTACAAACACATGCTAGCATCAATGGCAACTTTACGACCTGCAAAGGATTATTCAATTTACTTTCAATACCAGAAGCCGGCGAGCCAAGCTTACCAAAAAAGTTTTTTATTTCACTTTCACGTATTGCAAGTGGCGCCAAATCTGCAATAAGCTTCGAAAGGCCTAAAATTCCCATGACGATTGTTTATTGTGCGTTGATCAGCGTTTTTAATTTGTTTATAAATATGATTTCGCCAGATGAGTGCACTACGCGCGCTTTTCGTTGCAAATGTTGTGCACGCGTCTCCTTGTGAGTGTCAATTAACTGCAACTGTATATTGTAAGTATATCGATAGATAAATGTTTGTGGGACAAAGTTCAATAAATGTTATTATAAACAAACTGAGTGAAGTACATTTGAAAATAGAATACAATCATTTTTTAATCACCCGGTTATAAGCGTTAAAAATATAGTATACTCTAGTAAGAGATTAAATTTATATTGCCGCCAATTATCGATTCACGAGTGCAACAACATTGATATATTTACTCATCCCTAACGCCACACACATAAGCAAAAGCATGTCGGCTGACGAAAAAAAAGATAAAACCATTGAAAATATGGTACGTAAAATACTGGAAATAGTATTAAAATCAAGTTAAAGTTGTTTATTATCAACGCGCATAAAAAACCAATCAGTGCAAATATGTTTACCACGAAACTAAAGCGCAACAAATATTGCTCTCGACAAATCGGTCTTCTCCCCTTCGACCATTCGTTTATGTGTATAAACATGGCGTCGTTGCGTTTGTATGTTGCTTGTGTCTAGGTTTTGGTACGTGCGAGCAGGACAACATGTGCATGCCGAATGCCCCCATAGACACGCATACACAAACGCAAAGCTCAAAAGAAAACTTGTGTGTGCACAAAACATTTGAAAAAAAAAAGAAAAAAAGAAATTAACTGAAACGCATAAACCAGTGGCAGAGCAACGCACAATCTGATGGTAGTGGTAGTGCCTAAGTGTGAGCGGCGCCAAAAATTTGCAAGTGCAATAAAATTGTGTTTTGCTTTTGTTTTTATTTACATTAGGATGCCAACACGCCAGAACCGGAGACGGCGACCAAAGAAAATGCCGCTGATAAGGTAATCGAGTCAAAGACGGTAGAAAATGCAGAAGAGCCTACTCCACCCGAAACTGAGGCAGCTAAAAATGTTGAGAAAGAGATCGATGCCGCAGCGTCACCCGCTACTGATGACGTCGCTGATAAAAAAGCTGTTGGAGACGCAGTGGCTGCGACCGCGCCAACAGTAGATGCAGGTAAATAAAAGAAACACACGTATGCACACATACATATGTATTTGCTCTGAGCATGTGTGTGTTCACGTATGTTTGCGTGAAGAAAGAGCGAGAAAAACAAAAATCATAAAATGAATTTGCGCGCGTTCGTGGAATGCGGCGAACAACATCGCACATCGCATATCGAGCTCAACACATTTATGTACGTCGCTTGGCGCGCTATTTGCTGCGTTGGCAGTGGCGCTGCTGTCTAAAATGCCGCGAACGAGCGTATGTAATGTGAGAAATTTTCGTATGCTGGTGGGATGTGGGTTCGAACTCGAACAATTCTAATAAGAATGATGTGTGCGAAAATAAGTTTTCTTTCTAACTCTGCACGTGTGTGCTTATTAAAAAAAAAAAAAAAATAAAATTAGAATGAAATAAAATAAAATATCCTTGGCTATTTGTTCATACGGAACCCTGAACGATATGGTTTTTGTATAGTAGAAGCTAAGGTAAATTAAATATTCATGTTTCATAGTTCTCTGCGCTCCCAAAACAAACTTAGCATTGAACTTCCCAAGTGTGAATACAAGTTAAAAATATTTTAATAATTTTTAGGTTTAATATAAATTAAACAGGATTATATAAATTTTATTTAAAAAAAAGGAATATTAGTATGGTAGTTACATTAGTCAATTTAAGTGGGTTTTTATAATTTAAAGATTTTTTATTTTTATAGATATAAGATTATTTAAACATAATCCCATAGCTTGATTAAACTGGGTTTTTATGATTTACCTTAAGTAACATAACATTTGTATTAAACATTTATTATTTATCACCAGACGATAAAGACACAAAGGCGGAGTCGCCAGCGTCGCCAGCATCAAAGAAAGTAAATAATGGCGCTAAGAAGACTGCCAAGACTGACGACGACGAGGAGGAGGATGAGGAGGGAAGCGAGGATGAGAAGGACGACGTCAGTGATGAGGAAAAGAAACCAACAGCCACATCGGAGAAAAAGAAAATTGATGCGACAGACGGTGCTAAGGCCAAGGCAGGCTCAGCTGGAGCGGACAAGTCGGCGGTCGCCAAAAAACCTGAAGCCAAGGCCAAGAACGGCAAGGTGGAGAATTCGGACAAACAAGATGGGGAAGATGACGAGGAGGGCGAGGGCGATGGCCTCGATGAGAATAATGAGGTGGCCGAGGATGACGAGAATGTTGTGGCTCTGGCCGAGATTGATCGCATTAATGAGAATATTAACAAGACACGAGTGGATGGTCTCCAGGTGCTACATTCGGTAAGTTGGCGTTGAAATCGATCGTTAACTGGATTCAAGAACTATTTTACTATCTGAATGTGCAGCTCTGCTTTGGCGCACAAGGAAAAAATAATGTGGTGAAAAAGAATCTGCGCTCCTTTGCTGGATTTGAGTTTGCCAAGGATTCGTCGGAATACAAAAAGAAATATGAATCCATCAAGAAGGTGGATAACAAATCTTTGCGTAGTATCTGCGAGATTCTCACATTAGATCGCAAGGGAAGCAAGGACGAGATCGCTTCGCGAGTGCTCAAATTTCTAATGGAGCCAGATGAGTCGCTCTGCATTGAACAGGGTGAGGAGGAAGAGGAGGAGGTGGACGATGAAGATATCGACGAAGATGATGATGCTGCCAGCGAAGACGATAAGAAGCGCAAGAGCAGCAAAACGAGCGCCGGCGCCGGCAGAGGCTCTGCTCGCAATTCCACTGGACGTCCAAAGCGTTCAACGGCGGGCAAAAGTAAATATTGCTCAAGTACGCAATGCTATTGAGTTCTTTATTGACATACTTCACTGTACTTGCAGAAATGTCCGCATATGTAGACTTATCAAGCTCTGAGGAGAGCGAGCACAAAGTGACAGTGGCTAAGCGGAGACGAAATGATGATTCTGAATCTGGCTCAGATGTAAGTCGCCTCAATAAGTTGTTAATTAGATCAAGCCAACAAGTTTCATATCTTATCGCAGTACAATCCTTCGGGAAATTCAGACTCGGACGCGGGGCGTGGCGGTGGCGGCGGTGGTGCATCTGGAGCCGGTCGCAAACTCGGAGCTCGTGGCAGTCGAGGGCGCCCAGCACGCAAGAGTCGTCGAAGAAATTCAGATTCCGAGGACGAAGAAGAATCTGAGCTATCAGATGCAGATAGTGATGTATGCAAATGCCTTAACTTAGGTCGAATAGTTTTAGAATAACATTAAATCTTGTCCATTAGGTGCCTAAGCGCAAGCGAGGAACTTCTGGCAAGCGTGGACGATCTGCTGCGGCCGCTCCAGCCGGCAGACGAGGACGTGGACGAGGCGCTTCGGCGCGAAAGCGCAAGGACTCGGAAAGTGACGAGGAAGAAGTATCAGAAGATGAAGAAGAGGAGGAATTGTCAGACTTTGGCAGCGACCAAAGCGAGGTTTGTTCAGAGAAAACTAAAACGAAGTGTAAGAAAATGGTATATATAAAATTTATTTTTCATCTTGCAGGAGGAACGTCCCAAAAAGAGTAAGAAGCCTACAACGCCTGCGAAAAATAGCAAAGCCAACAACAAGTCAAAGCCAGCTGGAAAATGTAAAGCATAATTGAATTTTAACTGATTTTCTTACTGAAAGCACATTTTTTATAAATAGCCGCTGGCCGACCGAAGAAATCAAAGAAGGAAACGTCCGAGGAGGAAGATGTCGATGACAAAGATGAGTCCGATGAAGATGAGCCATTAACCAAAAAGGGCAAAGTGGCATTCCCAACGGTAAAGCAAGCTCACAAGCTTAAATTTAAAACAGCTATTTTAACAAATTTTCTTTTCCCTTACAGGACGAACAAATACGCGGCTATGTCAAAGAAATATTAGATAAGGCCAATCTCGAAGAGATTACCATGAAAACAGTGTGCAAACAAGTCTATGCTAAGTACCCAGATTTCGATTTAACAGATAAAAAGGATTTCATAAAAGCCACAGTAAAAGCGGTAAGCGATGCAGTTGCTGGGCATCATTATGGGATTTTCTTTGAACCTACTTTTCCCTTTCAGTTAATTGCGACATAAAACTACACAAAAGAGAAAAAGCCTTGGAATGGGCCAGCAAGCAGTTAAACTTGTATCAAATAACATTAACAACAACAACACCAACACAACAAGCGACCGCAAAAGCAACCAGATTTTGCCACTTTTTGAGAGCTGCCGCGACAACAAAGAAATACATCTAGTTTTCCTATAAGCGTATAATTTGTACTCTTTAAAACTAACTAAACAAAAACAAAACTCAACCTTAAACGGATTATGTCCTTTTCCCATATATGCATGTGAATAATGTATATATGTAAACGTAATTTTTAAACACTTTAATATTCATTTTCTTTATGAATACCTGCGCTCTCAAACGGCTCTACAAAAAGTGTGTAATTTAAGCAAACTGAAAAATAGCAAAAGAACATTGTAAAAAAAAAAGTTACAAACAAAAGCAGAACACAATTTATACATTTAAATGTAGTGCTGATTGATTTGACGTTCAAAATTATGTATTTTAAACTAAGCAAAGAGGATAAATAAAAAACAAAAAGAATATTCAAAATTCACACACTGGCAGCAGTACAAAAAACAAAAAAGAAGCATGGAAAAAACGAAAAGTCAAAATTCCAAATTGATAATATTGATACGATTTTGGTCTATGTTATGAAATGATAAAAAGTATTTGGACTTGGGGGTAAAACAAAAAATAAAGCGAGTTTACTGGAATAATACCTATATATAGGAAGTTGTTCTAGAATAAAAAACGGGCGCTAAATTGAGGAATTTTAAAGTAATTGTAAAATACGAATGGTTGCAGGTTTTTATATACATCTTTTGCTTTTGATTTCATCTCGGCTCGAGGTAGCTTGGAATTGTCGAGCTATTGAACAAACTGTCAACTGATTGTTATAATTATTATACGCCTATTTATAATTTAGTTTCCACTTGAATTGGGCTTTGATAATAGATTAGAGACAGAACTAAAGCAGGTTTCTCTTGTAGAGCGGATCAGACACACCACACACATCCAAAATAAGAAATATATATATACAGATATGTATGTTTAACGAAATACTAAGAATAGTCTTGCGAAATAGTTGTATGTACATTTGAAACAAAATAAATAACGAACGACAATTACAAGTTTCAAAACATAATGTTTTGAAAGCACTTCTCCACACAAGCATCTCAATGTACGTTTCTTGTAGTAAAAAAAAAAAAATAATAATAATAAAAAAGCCACAAAATAAGTATATATATATACAGATTTGAAGTATATAGAGTAAGATGGATGAGTTTATCCGAGGATCGTACAGTTGAAAATAAACATTTATTGAATGTTCGTTCGCTCTCCTTAAAATAAAACAGAATTTAAACTTATCCCTAAATCACATGCATCGCACTTGGATGCCTAGATATAAACTGATATTTTGTTTGATCTTTAAATGTTTCTCGAAGGAAATAAAAATGGATGAAGTATGTATATCAATAATATATATCGCGCGAAAATAAAATGGAAAATGCGTTGTTTTCTTTTGAATGGGCAAACAAAAAAATCAGAGTAAGTCTAGAATATTGGGCTAATGGTTAGATCCATCTATATATATAAATCGTATGTCTACATTTAGTTTCTTTTTGATAATGATTTTATGTTTTATGTATTATTCTAACCTTTAAACAAAAAACCGTTTCTATTTTTGTTTCAGATATAGTAATTTATTGAGAAATCGATAAATTGATAAATGCAATATTTAGGCAATATTTAAATTAATAATCGTTTCCATATACTTATGTATGTAGTTTATATGATTATGAAGGATTATAGGTAAATATATAGATATAGATATATAGATATATATATATATATATATATATATATATATATATATATATATATATATATATATATATATATATATATATATATATATATATATCAATTTGACTGGTAAGTGGATCACGTGGATATAAGGCTGTAAACATACAGATAGTAAAAACGATCAAAAAACGATATCAAAAACAAGATATTTTAGTTAAAAATGAATGTTAGGTTAAAAATATTAAAATGCATTGAATAGAATATAAACGGATTTTGCTTTGGTTTTTATGTATTTTCTCAATAGGCCTGGAAATAGATCAAAGCACATAATTTAAATCAAATATAAAGAAATATATTCATATATCAATTTCAAAAATATCATTTGATTGCGAAATAAACGGTTTTACATTGCCCCAAGAACTTTAACGCAAATGGATTTTAATATGGGTTCTATTAAAAAAAAAGTATATAGAGTTATACTTACCATAAATCGGGCAATATCTATATTCAAATAGTCATCTGCTGAAATGGAAAGAACTTAAAAACAACTTCCCGAACCAACAGAATAAAAAACACGCAGCTCAAGCAAAGTCAAAGCGAAAAATATCAAACATAATTTTGCCTTTCGTAGTGCTATTCACATTATTCGACTGTCAATATATTAGTATAAAAAATATTTATATAAATATATGTATATGTATATACATATAATAGCGTATGATAATACTCGTACTTTAAAGATATATATGTATATGTATAATATAAACCGCTTAGATCGCAAACAAATGATATCTGATGAAAGAACATACTAATATATATATAAATATATAAAGTTATAAATCGTGGAGATTTCAAGTTTTCTTCAGTATATAGAGCGATATAATCAAAATTGCAATATAGTTCTGGTTTCGCTTTAACTCTCACATTGGGAAGTTGAACATCGTGGGAAAAACGCTGTGGTTGGCTATTGAAATATATAGAGAAATATATATGTATATACATTTATGTCACATATGTATGGATGGTAATATATATGTAGTATGTACAAAATATACATATACATCTGTATGTATATATCGGCAAAATATTACGAGTACAAGTGCATAATAAGATATATCAATGTAAGATTCAATATTATGTATAGACAAATTGGCATTATAAGAGATATTGATAGACCTGCTACATACCCAACAATCAGAACGACAGCAACACTGAACAAAAGCAAAAGCCCGGCCCTAGATACCATCCACCTCTCAGCGCCTCTGAAAATACGCTCAAAAACGATTTTCATATATGGCATAAGGAAAACAGTAAGTAAAATTAAAAAAACAAAAAAAAAAAAAAAAAAACTCAAGAACTGAAAGTATAATAAATAGAAACGCATAAATTGCATGCAACGCACATTGTGCGTCGCATAGCGGCAGTTACATCAGGTTTTTATATAAATATAAATATAAATATAAAATATATATATATATTATAGTCATATTGTGTTTATTCAAATGTATCGAAGGCTGCTGCGAAAATGATTAGTAAATCTTGCAACACGCCCACTTTCTTATACAAATTATGTTATTCTCAATTGGAAAGTGGGTGCACATCATCATCATCATCATCATTATCATCGTTTAATAGTTAATTCATTTTGAGGAGACATAAAACTTAGGCTATTTATTGCATATACATAAATATATATTTATAATGTGTTTCATAATTGCAGACCTATGTTATGCATTAAAATGTTCATGGTTTCAATAATTGTAATATTTGTAAGACATACACAAATAACAACAAAAGATCTTACCAAGTTTCTTGCACGCTTTGCTCATTAAATATTGTATATATAGATTTGTTTATTATTATAATTCTTTTATATTGGTTTATATATGGGATTACGGCTATGAACTGGTTTGAAGATGTTCTCTGAAATGACATACATATATATATATATGTTTGCATCTGCATTATAATTATTATACATTATTATGGAATATATATTATAAATTAATTATTGAATTCAGTATTAGCTAAGCATTTAAGATCTTACCAAAAGAAAACAAAAATGAGATGAATAGAAAATGAAAATTAGAACAATATATCCAATTATTTCTGACCCTTTCTGAAAAGGCTTTATAGAGAGCATGAATTCTGCATTGGAGTCGCTGACCAAAATAATAACTCTCAATTGAACTGAAATCAAAATTAGACCTTAGGGCTATGCAAATATAATATAAAAATATATATTCAACTGAAAAAACAAAAAGGTATATATCATATGTTATAAAGAAACATAATATCAGATCGACAAACCAGTTTCATCCAAAACACGAAAAAACATATTTCTAGGACATCATTATTTTTGTTCTATGTTCAAGTAATCTATTATATATATATATGTATGATAAGACCATTTGTAATTTGACAGGTTAAAATTCTTACCAGATCAGTGAAGACGTTGATCGTAGTATTATTTCATTTAATATATAAAGTTATTGGTATTATGGATATATTAAGACTAAGGTATGTTAAAATGTATGAGAGAAACGTTTTGTGGTATCAAAAGGTATTATTTCAATTTCATATATGTATATATATTGTTGTATATTTTCTGTGGTTGTCTTTCAATCAATACGATCCAACGTGGAAATTGTTCTACGTGTGCATTTGTTTTTGTTATTTGCTAGTTGGCAGCTGTCGGGACCTGTTTTCGAGTTGCCTAAATTGACGACGAAAGAAATTGTATGCATATGAAATTATCTGCATATATATACATATTTATGCATATATATTTAGATAGATAGCGACATATATGTATATTTATATAAATAGCAATTTGTATATTGTCCCAGAATGTGTGTCTCTGTACCTGGACAGCAATAGCAATTTCATTTTAGTTTTCTCTTTTTTGTTGTTTTTTGTGTTTTTTTTTTTTGTTTTTTTTTTTTTTTTTTTTTTTTTTTTTGTCATTAATATTTCAGGCAAAGTCACTTAAAAGCTAGAGTAAAATTAAAAGTGAAAAAAACCAATGTAATTGGCATATAATTAATATATATAATAAATTTACAATTATGCAAAGCGCGACGCTTCAAGCTGTGTGCAAATTGATTGATTGACTGTTTGTTTGATTTGATTGATTGATTGATGGTTGGTTGTCTTGACTGTTGGCGATCGTTGTCATAATTCTCATCTCGTTCAGCCCTTCGCGCTTCAATTACTGTATTCTTTTTTATATATTTTTGCTAATTTATTGGGGATAAAAGACATAGGATAGTAGAACAATTCAAATGATTCACTGCAAAGAGTTTTACGCATGGTAAACAAAATTATGTTAGGTTTTCATACATAGTTTTGCACGGTAATTAAATACATAGGTGTATCATATTATACGAAAAAAAATAAATTCACAAAGTATTTATCAAAATATATAAACAAGATAGGCAATATAGAAGGTAAGCAAATTCGAAAGCAAAAATAACCAAAGAAGCTCAATTCAATTCAATATTCGAGTTGGATTCGATTCGAGGGATTTACTTACCATTTCAAGGCACCCGCACTCCAATCAGACCCCTCAATGTTTATCGTTTTTGTGCGCTTTCTGCTGCTGCTGCTGTTGCTGGCCGGGACCGCCAGTGGGTCCGCTTGGGTAGCCGCCGTAGGCACCACCGGGATAGCCACCCGGATATCCAGCTGGTGGACCACCACTCTGGCCACCTGCACCGCCGGCTCCGGCGCCCTGGGGCTGTGGCGCTCCTTGAGGATGACTCGCAGCAGCCGCTGCAGCATAATACTGTGAATATTGTGCATATTGGCTAGGAGTCATACCTTGGGCATAGCCACCGGCCGCTGCAGCGGCGGCGGCTGCTGCGGCTGCCGCAGCAGCTGCATTTGGCTGCGGTTGATTGACATTGGGGCCACCTTGATTCGGATTTGCTGCATTACTGCTACCGCCAGCGCCGGCTCCGTTTTGCTACAATCACCAATAAAATAAATTAATTTCAGTTGCATTTTATTTCACAGCCCCCCAATTTTAACTCTACCTTATTCTTGAGCGTCTTTTCAATAGCTTCTGCCTCCTCAATTTTTCCTACACTGCGATAATATTCAGCCCACTGTGCGCTGTAGTCGGCACCGCTGCCGCCAGCCTGTTGTTGTTGCTGCTGTGTTTGTTGCTGTTGCTGCGCAGTCTGTTGACCAGGACCCGCAGGATTAGCAGCTAGCTTTGCTTTCATCTGTTGTTCAATCATTTCTGCCTCCCGATGACAGCCCATTTGCCTGGGATTTCGCAAAGAAGCCAATTAGTAAAAAGATATTTTAAGTATTTAAAGCTGTCGTTAATTACTTGTAGTACTCGATCCATTGGGCTGAGTAATCTTGACCACCCGCACCTGCAGCCGCGCCTGCTTGGCCCTGACCCGCTGCCATGGCCATCTGTTGCTGCTGTTGAGCAGCGGCTGGATCCCAGCTGCCCTGCTGTCCATAGGCTCCCCAGGGCTGTTGCTGTTGTTGCTGGTAGGCGGCAGCAGCGGCGGCATTTGGATCACCGCCCTGCATTTGGTTGCCACCGTAACCGCCAGGCTGTTGATTATGATGCGCATTGTTGGCACCGCCACCACCGCCAGACCCACCGCCTCCACCACTAATCGGTTTTCGCGAGAGCACCGTTAACTCCATATTGATTTTTTCCGATATCATTTGACGCGCAGACTCCACCTGGTCGGTGGTACCTTTCGACTTGAATAGCTTCTCATTGGGCGGATTGCTGGCATTACGGTCCATCTCTGTGTGGGCACCCGACTGCTGATTGATGAGCTTGATTGTCTCACCACCGCGTCCAATAACAATCTAATGAGTGAATAGAGATAATCAATTAGTGTTCAGTGCACATTGAATTCAATATCTACTTACGCCACATTTGGAAGCAGGCACCAGAAATGTAATCTCTTCGCGGCCACCCTGGGCATGATTCACGCCATATCCGTAGCCATAGTTCGAGTTGTTTGAATCGCCGCCCCCCTGGCTGCCTCCACCGCCGTTACCGCCGCCTCCGCCATTACCATTGCGGTTCATGCCATTGCGTTGCTGCGGATCAAATATGTATCTGTTATATCCAGAATATACTATACAAACGCGACAAACTAAATACGCCATGTGATCGGTAAGTGTTAAACTGTAAATTCTAACTTATTTGATTTGATTTTCATGAATTAATTTGTACACCTTGTTACACTATATAAATATATATATATATATAGGTTCGTGTGTCAAGTCTCGAAAGTCTCGAAATAGCCAGCTCGATGGAGCAGTTATCGGTTTATCATGCTACGCATTACAACTTAAGTAGAGCTCAAGTCCGTTTCTTACCATCACATTCTCGATTAGACCATCAATGGTGCGTTTCGCATCCTCCACTTGCTGGCGCGTGCCCTGGATAACGCACCGCCGATCGCCCATCTCATCGTTTTTGCCCTGGATGAATTGCAGTTTGCAGCCGCATTCGGTTTGGATTTTACGTATCATATCGCCGCCCTTGCCTATGACCACGCCCACAGCAATTTTGGGCACAAAGACCTCAACGCTTTCGCCGCCGTTGCCATTATTGAAATTATTGAAGCCTTGCTCAGATCCACCACCACCAGAGCCGCCGCCACCACCGCGTCCGCCCTGCTGCTGCATGGCCAGTGCATCCTTTTGAGCAATGAGATCCAATACCATTTGCTTGGCATGCTCGACCTTCTGGGGCACACCGGAAATGCGCAATGGCTTGATGACTTCCTGATTGGGACCATCCTGAATGATGATCATGCGGGCGCCAGTCTTCTCTTGAAGTTGTTTAATTGTGTCGCCGCCTTTGCCAATGACGAGGCCCACCTTAGCGCCGGGGATCATGATCTCCTGGTACGGCGGATAGCCTCCGGGACCCGGTGGCGGCATATTGATGGTCAACAACACCTCACAGGTACCGTTGCCTCCGTTCCGATTGACCATCTGCTGCAGCATTTCGCGACCCTTTGTGCAGCTCTCTCGGGTACCGCGTAGTGTTATCACTCGCTCTTGATCTTGCATCAGCTCCAGCTTGGCACCAGATTCGGCTTCCAGATGACTGAGCGTATCGCTGCCGCTGCGTCCCACAAATGCGTTCACAATGCTCTCGGGTATGCGCACTTGCTCCTCGCACGTGGAAGCCGGCCATGCAGTCAAACGAGCTGCCACAGCGGCGGCTTGCGCAATAGCTTGAGTCATATTGCCGCCACCACTGCCACCGCCGCTGCCACTGCTCATGTTCGAGTTATTTTGACCGTAATCAGGACTGCCAAAGGAGCGTTTACAATCGGGTCCACTATCGGGATCATCGTTATGCCGCTTAAAACTGTTGCTACCTCCGCCGCCTCCGGAGGCGGGGCCACTGGAGTCTCCTCCACCTCCTTGTGATTGCTGATTTGGCTGTATTTTTGCGGCAATCTGTAATTGATACACACAGTTAGTTTTGCCGAAAACCAAAATGCTTATTTTTCTACAAATGGAACACTGGGATAGCCCGGCAATGATTTGCTATGCTTCTTCTTACCTGCTTGGCACGTTGTATGGCAGCTGCCAATGCCTGCGATTGACTTAAACTCGCCTGCTGCGTCTGAAAGTCACTCATATTTGCAAATATCTCCGGTCAGAGTGGGTATCAGTTCCTAATGATTGCCTATTGTATTTATTGTAATATTTTTAGTAAGCGTACACGCCCCGCACTTTTTGCACAAAAACACCGACGCAACTTGACGACGTGCAACTGGAAAATTCAATAACCAAATGCACTTGAGCCGGAATGGCGTGTTCCTACGCAGAATATTTGTTGAAAGTGTATTTTACTATTAGTATTTCATATAAAACACATTAGTGAAGCATTTACCACTATTTTAATGAATTAATTATAGCCACAACTTTAGCTTTCTTAGATTTTTTTCGGTGAAAATTATGCGCCCCAAAATGCGTACATAGGGATGCTTAGCTTCTAACACTTTTTTGTACGTTTACTAACACTCTTTAGCGTCGTGTTGCAAAAATATCGATAGGATTTTACCAATGCACCGGTGTTTTAATGGAAAATTTAACAAAAAATCAAAATCTTCTAGATTTAATACTAAAATATTAAAAACATGTTATATATAGATGAAATAATAATTATTTATTGAGTCGGACTACTTAAATAGAATTTATTTGAGCTGCTCTATTAAATAGTTATCTATCGGATGCATCTAAAGCAATCGGTCAATTGTTTTCCATGTATATATTATTAGTTAATCAAATAAATAATACAATCTGGATTAACTATTTTATTTTGTTATTAAAGTAACGCAAATATTGTTTAGTTGACAAGAGACTGAACAATAGTTGTGAATGTCAAATGAACTAGTTGAGCTGTATGTTCATTTTAGTGAACTACTCAGAATGAACTCGTATTTATTCCCACTATATTCCCATTGTTTTTCTGTGTTAACAAAAAACACAACAGCTGAGCTAAGTTCGCACGAGAATTACTTGACAATTTCTAAAAGTAAGCGGACGGAAAATATATTAAATAAATTGTAATTATATAAACTTGTCTTCAATTAGCAGAGTTGAATAGAACAAGCCATTAAAATGCCTGTAGACTGGTTTGGTTATGTATACGCTGCAACAGTTGCCGCTGGTGGAATCATGGGCTATGCAAAGGCTGGTTAGTTATTGTTTTGTGTCTCACCTTTTCAATTTGTTAATTTAAAAGCAATTTAATTTCAGCTTCCATTCCCTCGCTGGGAGCAGGCGTTGCATTTGGAGCGCTGCTTGGCTATGGCGCTCACCTAAACTCTCAAGATCCACCACGGCCGCTGCTCCAGCTGGGAACATCGCTCTTTTTGGCTGGATTGATGGGTGCTCGCTGGAATAGGTCTGGAAAGATGATGCCAGCTGGAATGGTTTGCTTGCTTTCCATGGCAGCGTTGGTCAAAAATTTGGTCACATATAATCGTTACTTGCCATTGCCTACAAAGGGCGCCTAAATAGGAACAACAACAAAAGCAACAAAAACAAAAAGTCTGGATTGCTGTTAAACTTGCCGAAAGTTTTTCTAAAAGAATTATATTTTCCTGGGAGTGGAACTCAAAGTTGGAATGGTTTATGGACTTATAAGAATTTAATTGGATTATTCAATTTTAACTACGAGATACCCTGTAAACGCAACATTCATGCGCATCAAATAATTTGTATGCATTATAATAAATTTTATTTGCTTTGTACTTAAACTAAAACACTTTTACTATGAATATTTAGTAAAGTATGACGAATCATTACTATAAGTTATGTTTTTGTAAGTAAGCATTTACGATAAGATAGCGTGATAATACTTCATAATACATCAGTTTTTCTGCAAAACAGACGGAAGGTGGTATGCCTGACTCCATAAGGTATGTATGTATGTATGTATTTATATACTACATTAGAGTATATATGTTGTGAAGACATATGTATGTTCGTCAAATGCATTCAAATTGAGTTCAGTTGCGTGAGCGTCCGGCGAGTTTCAATTTGAGCGAGCGTTCTGTTTTATACCATTTCGTTAAATGAGTAAGAATTGATAAAGAACTCACTCGTTTCAGCGGGGTCTATTTTGTCATTCAATCAGTGCTCTAATATATGTTTATGCTTATGTATAGGTAAATGTATGTATTCTAGTTAAGCATTTATAGCAGGACTCTTTCATTGATAGATTTGCAAGGAAATATAAAAAGCTGTCATTATTAGGCTGTTCCATCTCTAGCAGATTTAGTTCGTTTTAAATTATCGATAACATTTATCTTTGCCATCAAATCGTTAGCATTTAAGCTCATCGCTCAGCTCCACCTCTAGCAGATGAAGTGCGTTCACTAAGTGGGACATTTAAAGCACGCTTGTTCGACATATTCATTTTGTAATAACTTCGTATTTGTTTGGGTCGATCGACAAGTAAGTATTTTGGACCTCAAAATCACTACACTTTGAGCGGCGAGCCAACATAATCGGCCATATTTATCTTATTTAGTCTCACTAGACATACGCTCTGTTGTATGGTTAGAGGCTCGTTTCAAATAAGAGAGGATATATTCCAAGCTCGTCTAATTAATAAAGTCTTTTATACATATGTATATGCATGGTATATTTTCTAATTCCCTTTCCCCCGCAAACTATAAAGAAAACCGCAAAAAATTCGTTTAAACTATATATGTATGTATTTATTTTAATATATTTATATCTTAAATTATATTTTTGTTTGTGTGCATGTGGTAGTATGTGTGTGTGTGTGGTGTAGTATTCTTGTGTGGGTGTGTGATAAATGTACAGTTTCACTTGATATGATTTCCAGTTGTTTATAGCTAAAACTTAATTAAACTATTTACTGCTTAACAGGTAATGCAATTTTTAAAAATGTTCCATCGCATTAAACAATGCAAAACTTCTTTACTTCTTTAAATACAACAATATTTTGGAATTACAATTGTTTTCTAGTAGGCAAAGTGCGGCTAGGTAAATAAAGAATTTGTTCTTGGTGTTTTTTTTTTGTTTTTGTTTTTGTTTTTTTTCACATTTTTAAGCAATTTTCTAAAATAAGAAAAAGATAAATATATTTTGTTAGTTAAGTATACAAATTATCTTTTATCACAATGGAAAATTGGAAATCTTTAGGAATAATTTATCAAATTGTTTCACTTTTTGTTTGCTTGCTTTTGAAACGTTTTTAATACCAATATGAATGCATTTACTATATATGAGCTTTTTACAGAAACATATATTATGTACAAAATACTTTATAGATTTTGCTTCATATATGTATGTATAGAAAAGAACTCTCACTTGAATGGGTGCGATTTTTTTTTTTTGTTTAACAAGAATAATAAATTTCTTTTTGTATTAAATTAGTCTCTTCTAAAACTAAAAACAAATCAATAGTAATTATAATTAAAGAATTATTCATAAAAAAATAAAAATAAAAAATAATAATATAAAAATTCTATCTAAAAACACAATTTGCTGCAACTGCAAATATACATAAGTATTTTGTTTGTTTCTCTTGTTGTTAAAACTTTCTCAATGGCAATAACCAGGCCAAATCCAAACGTTTCATCCGCTTTCCGGTTGGCAGTGCTCTAAAACGGAAACAGCTTCCAGTTAACCACTAAACGGGCGGCAACAAAATGAAATAGAGAAACAATAGTGAATATATTAATAAACAATAATTTCAATAAAAAGTGCAATAAATGTTAGGCGTGCAGTATGTGAGGAATGTTTGCAGTTTTTTGTCTGAAAAGTTTTTTTTTATATTTTGTGTTTTTGCCGACGCCGCCAGACGCCATTTTGTTTTTGCAGTTTTTGTGGTGATTTGCAGTGTGTACTGTACCATATGCCACCATTTTGAGTTTTTAATCAGCTTTTACTGTTTACTTGTTCCACATTCCATGCGTTTCCAATTGCTTTGATTTGCATTGATATTTGTTGCTATTTTAGTATGCAAAATGCGATTTGATTGTTTATTGTTTAGTCGAATTTTACGCCATGCCATTTTGAGTATATTCCATAATGTGGAGCAACTAGCTAACTTAGGTACTACAATTGTCAATGCTGATGCATGTTTGGTGTCTGTGTGTGTGTGTGGTTGTGTGGGTGGGTGGAAATTTACCTATGTATGTGTGTATGGGTGTTACCAATCTGTTGATTTATTGGTTGCTTTATATATAAATGTAATATGTGTTGCATGTAATTTGTGGAGAGAAAGAGAGAGAGAGAGAGGGAGGAGAGAGAGTGAGAGAGCAGGAGCCGCAGCGAGTTTTGTAAATTTATATGAATTTATATCAGCAATGAATTGTTTTTTTTTTTTTTATTCTTTGAGTTGAGTTGAGTTGATGAGAGGTAACTGGCATAGCTGTTAGGCCTGATGACAATTCGAATCAGCTTCATGAAATTAATGCAGACTATTATCATATATGTACTATGGGCACTCCCTATGTATATAGGGCATTGATACTATTAGAAATAAATGTTGAACGTTTTTTTTTATAAATTATTTATCAAATCAATTACTTGTTCATGCTAAGAGCTACGTTTCAAGCATATACTACTACTTTCTTGGGCTACTACTATATAGCCCAAATACTACTATTTGGTTTGTAAATGTGAATAAATGGTTTCATGCTTAAGATAATTGTTCGATATTATAACTAAAATGGCCAATTACGAATGCGAATTGGTAAGCTTCAATTACCGATTATATCTAGAATATAATATAAATATATATATTTATATATATGTATGTGTGTATATATTGTATGTAGCAGGCAGCAAATACCACTAATATATTTTAGAATAAATTCCCCGATATTTGTATATTTTATTTGATTGCGAAGCTTTTAGTCTACGAATTAACTAAATATTTGTAGATTTTTGATTGCTTTTTGTGTTCTTACCGCACGAAGTAGCAAAGTAACAAATCGAATCGGAACGTTGAGAGGACAATTTAGGCTTGTGTGCGTGTAACTGTAAATCTGTTCTATGTGTGTGTGTGTGTGTAACTGTGTGTTTGTCTGTGCGCGTACTTTGAGAGTTACAGTTACAAACTGGGTAGCGCTGGCAGTGTTGTTGATCGAGTTGAAATGTTGTGTTTACGTATATTTAGTAGTAGCAGAAATAGTAGTAGAAATAGCAGCAGTGTTGACAACGCTCTTTCTAGTTTCTGTTTTTGTTTTTTGTGTCTTTCACATGACTCGTGTGCGTCGTATCAGCTTTTGTGTTTTGATTTTAGGTTTTCTGAGCGTTGTTGTTGTTGTTGTTGTGTTGCCATTTGTTGACTGTTGTTCGAGTTGTTGTATGGCTATTGTTGTTGTTGTTGTTGTTGTTGTGCTTGGCTGATTGTCCAACACCGTTGGCAAATTGTTGGTATTGTCGCCAATATAATTTGTTACATATGAGGGCGATGTCAACTGTTGCTGTTGTTGTTGTTGTTGTTGCTGACTATTGTTATGACTAACTTTATTACTACTATTTTTGTTTGTTATATTACTACTGCGATTTAGCGTACGTTTTAAGAATTGACTGCCATCAAAATTTTGCTGTTGCTGTTGTTGGTGTTGCTTTTGTTGTTGCTGTTGTTGTTGCTGTGGTTGCTGTTGTTGTGTGCTGCTGGCTTTTGTTGCTGTTGAACTGACGGAGGTGGACACCGATGTTGTGGTGGCTGTAACCGCACCGTCCAGTGTTGGTAAATGCAATGCTTGAAATTTTTTAAAATATGCATCGAATATCGATGAAGTTGCTTTTGTTTTAGTTGTTGTTGCTGTTGCAGCTGTTGTTGTTGGCGTCGCCTTGGCTGCTCGGACTGCGGCTGTTGTTGTGCTTGTTGTTGTTGTTGTTGTTGCCAATTGTTGTTGCTGTTGCAGTGTTGTCAAGTGTCTGGGTTGCTGTATGTGAAACTTACGTTTTTGCCGCTCAATTGCTTCATTGATCTCAATGCCGGCATTGGCCTCGTTTTCCTCATCAACTAGATGATGCTGTTGTTGTTGTTGTTGTTGTTGCTGCTGCTGTCGCTTGTTTCCTTCCACGCTGTTGTTGTTGCTGTTGCTGTTGCTGTTGCCATTGCTGTTGCTATTATGTTCTTTAGCGCCATTGTTGCTGCTCTCGCCGCTGTTGTTGCTGTTGGTGGTGGCACTATAATTTGTAATTTGTTTTTGTACCAAGGGTATTGAGAAATGTTCATTGGACGTAACTACAGTTTGTTCTTGTTGTTGTTTATGTGGCGTATTCTGATGTTGTTGTTGTTTTTGTGGTTGTTGTTGTTGTGTTTGTATCAAATGAAAATAGTATTCAATTTGTTTTCGTAGTTCATGTGTATAAATTTGAAACAGATTTGGTGTTTGTGTTGTGGTTGTTGTTGTTGTTGTTGGTTTTGGTGTTGTTGTTGTTGTTGTGTAGCGTGCGCCATTGCTGTTGCTGTTGCTGCTGCTGCTGATGCTGCTGCTGGTGTGTGTCTTAACCATAACGCCACCATTTTGCAGCCACTCCGACTCAGTGTTGTGTAGTGCCAAATTATCAGTGTGGTCAGTGTTGAACAGTCGCCGCAAAAACTCAAATGATTTGGAACGTGATGCAGTCGTCGGTGTCGTCGATTTTGAGGTTCGTGCTGTTGCTGTTTTTGTTGTTGTCGGTGTGTCAGCATTGTCAGCAGCAGCAGCAGCAGCATCAGCCGTAGCAGCAACAGCCGCAGCAGAGCTCTGCTGTATGTTATTATCCTGCTGCTCCTCACTACTAGTGTTCTCCGGCTCCTGCTCCTGCTCCTGCTTCTCTTCGGCTTCATCTTCAGCTTCTTGGGATTCGTTCTCCTCACTACTATTTTCAATGTCTTCGCCCGCTTGGCTGTTCGCATCGCTTTTCTTCTGGCTGATTTTACTAAGGTGCGTGTGTTTCGTGTTGTTGTTTTTTTTTGTGATTATTTTTTTTTTGATTTTGATATAGATTGTGTTGTCGGTGTGTGATTGTTGTTGTTGTAGTTGTTGTTGGTGTTGATATTTGTAAAGGTGTAAAAGGTTTGCATATTAAAAATATGTTTCTTGTTTGTGTGTGCGTGTTTTCTTTGTACTCAAAAAAAAAATACATACATAGTTTATAAAGTCTAAACATAAACAACCAACTACGAAAAAGTTTCTATATGAATTTGTGGATTGCACTTACTTGTATACTAAACGGTAATTGTTTCCATAGTCGGGAATTATATTAGAAGGCAGTGGGGAGCAGCGACCATCCAGACAATGCTAAGGGGGGGGGCAGGGAGTGGCAAGAGTTAGAATTATCTCAGCTTGAGCAGATATGCCGCACTTACGTAGCCATTACCACACGCTGAGCCCTCGGCTGCTGGCCTGTAGGCAACACAGTAGCCCGTCTGGGCGTCGAAGCAGAAGAGCTGAGCACAGACACGCTCATCCTTGAAGCACGCATAGGTGCCACGATCTCGCCGGCATTGCGCATCCAGCGAGAGCAGCGTGCCGGGTAGTGATCTACCCAGGGCGCTGTCCTCGTGCGGCGCATTGTGCAGGCAGGTGGCGGTGTCCCCACTGTGGAGTATAATGAAGTGATTGCCTTTGCAGTGCCTTGGCAGCTACTTACTTGAGGAAGTGATGGAAGCTCTGCACTGTGCAGGCGGACCAACGGAAGCCGCGCTCCGTGTGACGCAGATCGGACATTATGTAGCCATCCTCCCAGCGGCAACGCTGTGCGCCCGGTCCTCCCAGATAGCTGGGCGGTGGTGAGCCATCGTGCACGGCGCCCAATCTGCACGGAGTGGTAATAGTAGCAGAATTAGTAGTATATGTAGCAGCTGAATTTTAATAGTAATCATGTTAGTATAATAGTAGTGGGATTTTAGTAGCAATATAATATAAGTAGCATAGTAGTAGTAGAATTAAAGTAGTAATAGAAAATTTATTGCGAAAGAAGTAGTAGCTGCAATAGTATTGGTAGAGTGTAGTAGTAGTAGGAATATCTGTAAAAGTAGTATAAGTAAATTTTTATAGTAATAGTAGATTTGGGATATAATATTTGTGAATTTTTGTAGTAATAGTATGAGTAGTAAATTTTAGTAGTAGTAATAGTAGTATATTGCTGCAGTAGTTGTAGTAAAAGTGGTCTTTTATAGTAGTAGTAGTAGTAGTAGTAGGTTTTTCTATTTGTATTACTAAAAGTAGACTTTAGGAGTAGGAATAGTAGTAAATAGAGATAGCAGTAGTACATTCTTGAAGTAGTAGAATATTTTTATAGTCGCAGTAGATTTATGTAGAAGTAGTAGTAAAAAACCTTTTGTGGAATAGTATTATTTCTTTTTACTAATACTATTTACGGAAGTAGTAGTATTTGAAATTGGTAAATTATGGAAATCAAATTTGTAGTAAACTGGGTGTTTTAGTAGTACTAATAGTAGTAGCAGTCGTCGTGATATATGAGCCAAACAACTCAATTCGATGCGATTGCGGGAAAATGAGAAAAATGTTAATTAATTAATTGGCAGGCGAATGATGTCAAACGGAAATGCAAACACGTTTTCCACTCCAGTTGCGGTCAAGCGCCGGAAATTTGGCGCAGTTGATTTGCTTCTTTTTTTTATACACATATATGCATATACGATATATAGTTATTGGTGTCTTATGGATTGGGAGTGGAAGTGAAGTGCATGCAAAAATAAAAAAAAAAAAAACCGCAAACAGTTCCGTTTGGCTGAATGAAATGTGAGCCCAGATTGGAAGGGAGCGGGAAGAGAAGGGCAGGGGGAGGGCGGGCTGGTTTACTTACAAATGTCCCACTTCGTGGGCGGCCACAATGATGCCGCTGAAGCCGCCGGTGTCCTCGATGATGGCGACGCTGTTCACCTTCTCCAGCCGCTTGTTAACCACGCAAGCGCCGCCAACGTAGGCAAAGCCTGTGGGCCACATTCGCATGGCAAGGAGAGAGAGAAAAAAACACACAAAAAAAAAAAAAAAGAGCAGAAAACGTTGAAAATTAGGCACTTAGCTCTTGGTCTGGCCAACAGGAAGTTGACAATTTTTAGCAACCAGCAGCAGCGGCTGCAGTTGTCGCTGCTGCTCGTTGTCGCAGTTATTAAATACAAGAAAATAAAAGCCGCCTTAAAATTTTGCAATTTGCAATTTTGGTTTTACTTTCGAAATTTCGATGTGGCCTAAACGGCATTTATCTCGTCTTTTTTTTTTCTTTTTATATAATAACTGCCTTTGCAAGATGTGTATATGTACATATAACTATGTGTGTGTGCGTGTGCTATATTGTTTTTGTTTAAGTATTAGTCTTGATGGATGTGTCGCAACCAGACACCAATTCAGAGAGTTAGTTAAAGTCACTAAAACTTAGTCACAATTCCAGCCAAACCCAAAATAAAGTGTTAGTGCCTTGAAACCCATGATTGATTAGTCTTAAAAAAAAAATTATTATTATATAAAAATAAATGCTAAAATTAATATATATTATAATAAAATATTATCTTAAAGATCTAGAGGTCTACAGCATTTTTTTTTTTATAGATAATAGATTTTTTTTATAGATATATTCAGCTAGAGATCTTCAGCATTTTGTTTTATATATACATAAAATTCACAGCTTCGATTATTTCTGCCTGAAAAGTAAAACTTAAAAATATATATTTTATCGTTTGAAAATTGATATATATCACAAAAGATGCATGTGCTAGGGCATTAGAATGCAGTCACATGCGTATGCACAGTGGTTAAAAAACAATTGTTCAGACTGAAGGAAGAGGAGAAAACAATTCAATTCAAGCAAAAGTTCAGCGAAAAAAAAAACATAAATACGAACAGACATGTATATAAACATACATATAGAAGAAAAATATATATAAAGAGAGTGGAGAGAGAGAGAGCGAGAACATAATGCAACTGTACAGTTTGAGACGCATTGCTCGCAGCTGAACTCCTATTTCGGAGTTGTTTTTGGTTCTTGTTGCTGTACAAAAGTCGTGCGAGACACAAAACATATAAATTATACAAAGTTCACACTTAATGTGAATAGAGTTGAGAGAGACAATACAGAAAATACAGGTAACAGAAATAAACATATAGACAAAGAGAGAGAGCGAGAGAGAGAGAGAGACGTGCATGAAATTCAATTAAATTGACTTGATTTTTAAGATGATGGAGCGACGCTTTAGGTTCGGCTGCGGCGGTTGCTGCCTTTAATGTTAATGCTATTTTTATTTATTTATTTTGATTTAATTTTGTTGCTATTTTCGCATTTATCTGTACATTGTCAGCGAACAAAATTGTTGTTGTTTTTATAATTTTTACCTGCGGTACCGCGATTACATTCACCAAATGCGGAGGTACGACGGCACATATCAAGTCTGCGGGCGAAAATGTTTCAAAATGCGTAGATTTGAGTATAGATTCGTTTCTTCTTAATTAAAATGTCGGAGCCTCAATATATGTATGTATATACAAAAATTCAATTCAATTTAGATTGTGTTTTTATTTTTGTGGGGCGTGTCCATTTGTTGGACGTATAAGAGAGGTAGAGCAATTAATACAGTTAGAGCAGCACAGCATAAGATTTGAGAGCCAATTGGACATTTGACTTGATTGAGTCGGGTCAAGGGTTGGGGCGAACCTTTCTTGAGATTGGAAAATAGGAAAAACATTCAAGGAAAATATATCAATTCGGGTGAAACTTTAAAAAATTTGAAGACTGCGAGCTTAAAAATTCTTAAAAGCCTTCGGCGAATCTTAGCACTAGAATAAAAACTGTCATACGGCACTGTTATACTTCACTATTATACAATACTTAACTGTCATACCTTAACAGTTGCTATTCTAACAGTAAAATTATGACTTTATCAAGAATCTGTAAGGTAGAGATACCGCAAACTGTTATACTGCATTGTTATAGTAAAGTTAGAGTAAATTTCAAAAATTTCCTGAAAATACGTCATACATTAATTACTACCATTATATTGTACTGTTATACTGCGGTGTTATACTAAAATTAGTATAACAGTCATATTTAGTACAATATCTAATACTTATGCTGTAAATATTGAATGCATAACAGTGGCTTTAACAGACCCTCAACCAAACTGTTATACTGTTGACTGTTCTACTTTAACAGTCGCAAATTGCAAAGTCCCTTTTCAAAGTTACATCTTAATATTAGAACATTATCTAAAATTATTATACTACTGTTATACACTACTGTTATACTTTTCTGTTATGCTTACGAAGTTACAATTGCAACAAGTGCAACCCTTCCAAAATTAGGCCTTAAAATTAAATAAATTTCTCAACCAATATTATTTATTATATGTGTGTTTTATAACTAAATCACTTTCAATGTCAAAATACAAATAGAAAACAAATAAAATTAACTTATGCAGATATGTATATATAAATGTAGCTAGCCAAATGCAGCAAGCATTAAGGCTGACTTGTGGACTTGTAACCGGTTATGGTTTATGGCCAACCCGCTCCTCAAATTAGATGAAATAACGCCTCGAATTTAACTAAAATTCGGTTTCTGTTTTACCTCAATGTCTGTATGTGTAATTGTGTGTGTGATGTTTGTATGTAAATGTGATTTGTGTGTGTGTGTGTTTTTTTTTTTGCTGAGTCCCACACGCAGTTTTAGGCAACTTGGTTAAGTGTTTTTTCTAGTGCAAATTACGAGAATGTAGCAACAAACTAGAAACTATTGTAACTAACAGCTTTGAGATGTTAAATAACCACATGACATTTTGTACGACTGTACGTCTGATTGTGTGTGTGCGTGTGCGTGTATGTGTGTGGTCTTTGATATTTAGTTTGTTTTTGTATTGTAGCTTGGTATAGATTCTTTTACCCGCTGTGCCTTTGGTGCAACGGCCGCCTTTACGTCTGCGACACATATCATACCTGCGCATAAGTAGACATTATATATAGTATATAGAGAGAGAGTTTCGATTGGGTAGAGTGTAAATCTGAGATAGAAAGGGGGCTGGGGTGGGGTCTGCTAACAAAACATTGCTGCTGCTGAATCTGCAAGAACACAAGAAATACTCCACTTGACGGGCTGTCGGCCACAGCCCTCTACTCACTTGGTGATGGCCACGGCGATGTCGTAGACGGGCAGACGTCGCTCCCGGAACAGGTATTTGCCCATGTCGGTCAGGGCGGCAGCCGAGTCGATGGCATCGCGGCCCACACGATTACGTTCCAGATAGGGCGTGGCATCGCGACCCTGCAAAAGGTAATGTGGAAATTTGAATTAGAAACTAATAATAAATTTTAAATAATTATAATAATAATGATAATAATAATAATAATAATAATAATAATAATAATAATAATAATAATAATAATAATAATAATAAAAATAATAATATTTACTTGAGCTTAAATAAAACTGTAGCATTTATCATTAAATAAATTTAACATTAAAATAATTTGAGGTATTTATAATTTTGTAGTTTAAGCATAGCTTAATCTTAATGCAAAAAATCAATTTGTGAAATATGAAAAATGAATTCAAATTTTGACATAGTTAGAAGCCAAAAAATTATTGTTAATAATTAAAAAAAAAAAATGGTACTTGATTGTTATGATTTGCAATAATAATTATTAATTTATTTTAAATAAATAGTCCCAATAATTATTGAAAATTAATAACGATCAATTAAGTCAAAATTTGGATTTATTTTCCAATTGAAGTTTTTCATATAATATTTTAATTTTTTTAAAATACTTTAACTGAGCTAAACTCATATTTCAAAAGCGTTTGACAAAAAAACGAATTTAAATTTATTAGAATTTTTTGCTTGACTAAAATTTGATAATTTCTGATAAAAGTTTTATCTGCAGCTTGCTAAAACGAAAACCAGAATTTCTTAATCACTTTATGCATTTCATCTGACTTTTAACTAATTATTGGATAAATTATATGTTTGTCTAATAACTTCAATTTATTTCTATTAATTTTCCACACCATTCCACTCATTAAATCAACTTCATTCAATAAATAAATAATGTCGCTTGATTTTATGGCATCAATAAATAAGACAGATTTATGACCTCAACTTCAATTTATGCCTAATTAAATGTTATTCACACTTTGTGTTTTATTACCATCTAAAGTTGTTTTTATACTTTGAAATCAAATTGAACAAGACTGAGCAAAAGGCAAATTGCAAAGAATTTAGTTAGAGGATCTACAGAAAATATTGCAGCAAAGTAATATGTATAAATAAAATTGTAGAATGGAATAATGCTCGATAAAGCATTAAAAAAAAAAGTATATATATATTCTTATATATATATTATGGGAAATTTATTAGCAATGAAAATGCATAGCCAGCTGCTATTTTACTGAAGGCGAAAATAATACTCCGAAGTCTGGGATATTTATATTCGCTCCATAAACTCGAAGCTAAGGCCCTCTTCGGTCTACCAGCTTTACTTTACCACTTCCTCTACCATTGCAGGTCTTTAAAATGAAATTAGAAAGAGAAAATCCAGCTGTCTTTGCATCGACTGTGTTTGAGCCTTTAATAAAATAGCTATTACTATCAGCCATCAAGTACTCGCATTGGATTTGTTATGCAATGGACGTAGCATTTGACAAGACACGGCAAACAAATGGGAAATATCCGAAATTTATGGCCCACTCAGCGCTAAAAGTGTTCAAACACTTTGGCGTAGGCAGGAACCAGCTGCAGTTGCCACCAGGGAAGCCTGTGAAGCAAATGTGTATGTGTGCGTGTGTGTGAGTGTGTGTGAGTGTGTGGGGGACACATTTATGGCAGAATCTGTCAGCCAAACGGAAACAAGTGAACATGAAAAACGTGCGATGCGACTGAGACGATAAAAAAGAGCTAAAGCCAAAGAGACGAAGCCAAAGAGATGCTGGAAATGGAGTTGTAATTGGAAATGGAAATGGTGTCTCTGTGGCAAAGTCAAAGTCGTGTGGCGAAGAAGCTTATCTACAAACTAGTTGCAATTGTGCGTTGTATAATTGATCTCTGCTGCTTGCATCGCTATCGTGACTGAGGGGCGTTACTGTATTACTGTAACTCTCGCTCTGTCTCTTTCTGTGTCTGAGGTGACAGCTACATAAATTATTGTAACACAATTGTCAATCATGTCGAGCCCTGGGCTAATCAATATGTTAATATCCGGCCATAATCTGCTATATGGAACCCGTTCGACAGGCCCCAAAGTGCAGGTGATAAAAGTAAGTTAGCTGTCACTGCGTTCATAGCTTCAACTTACAAATGTATCCGCAAGATACTCAGATACATTCTGACTGCGCTTGATCGTCGAGTGTCGCGCCAATGCATTTGATATATTGCTCCACTCACTGAGTAGTCTGGACTATATATATAGATATATGTATGTATATTTTTATATATTTACACCTTAGTCTTTAAGATTGTTTATAATACTCGCATTATCGACATTTATGAACTGCAGTCAAAATAAATCTATTAGCCATATATTTCTATATATGTATATAACATGCATAAGAAATTCTTAGCCAAGAAATTTCATTGGATTGGCAAATCTTTTCCTCGATCCGGCAATAGTTTTAAACCCATTCAAATGCTGCCGAGTGCTATATATATGTATACATAAGCATATATATATATATATATATATATATATATATATATGTATATATATTTGCTGCTCTTTGTCTTGATCTACTTTATCTTCAACTAAATAATTGACAATTCGACAGATTGATCAATTGTTAGTGCGGGCACGTCTCCCATATCAAGCTACGAAAATATTTGGTAAATTTTTGTTGTTTCTGCGGTATTTTTTTTTTTTTTTTCGTCTCAGCAAAACTAACAAGAATTTTAAATGTTCCGACGGGCGACCTTGGGCCATTGATTATTGGTAAAAGGCAACGCTCGACGCACGTTGCTGGGAATATTTTGTGGAATTACGAAATTATACCGAATTATATGCCAAATTATAGCCAAGCTCCGATTCATTTGACTAGTGCAGCCGATACGAGTTTATTACAGCTGCTGCGACGCCTTTTACGATCGGTATTCCGAAATTGAAGTGGATGCGCATCTTTGAAGGCCTCCGCCGCTGCGATGTGCGAAGTGCGATGAGCGATGAGCACTTGAGCTAGATAACACACATGGCAGAGCAGCTAATCAAAGGCAAATAAATATCAACTCAATGGCAGCCGAAAGAGATCTGCGTGCCTCTATGTAATACTTTAATGCGCGGCTTATGGCCAGGGCGTCCATAAATGGGAAATATTTGCAATTTCAGATTGCAATTAGTTGATGCTGCTCAGAGTATATAAAGAATATATAAAAGTGTATGAAGTGGCTTGAGTAGTCTAAAAATCTGTTCGGCTAAACTAATATCTCTTTGACTATACTTTTTTAAAAGTTTCTTATTTATTTGTTTTTTTTTTTATTTATTTTTATTTTTTTTTTGCAGTTCATTAATCATATGATATATTAAAAAAATTTTTTTTGCGATTTTATCTATCATATTTAGATATACATATTATTTCATTCAATTCAATTCTTATACACATTATACATATACATATTTCTATATATTCTGATTTTCTTAAGGAGTCAGCGATAAAAAAGATTATTGAGATTTTTTATAAAAAAAGCTGTATGTAATAATAATTTATAGTTATTTATTAATAAATTAAAAGAAAATAATCACTAAAAGCTCGAGCTAGATAAAAAAACATAATTATAATTAATAATTTAAAAGACCAAATTCATGTTTTTGAATCAGAAATAACTCGAGCATATTAATTAATTAAAATGTTCACTACATAAAATATTTGAGTTATTAAAGGCTTCTCAAGGAAATACCCTGCTGAGGCATAAAAGTATTTTAGAAAATCTCAATCTCATCAACTCAAGCAAAATTAATTATATAATAAAAAGTTTTAGCCATTTCACCTAAGCTTTTATTAGATATGCACATTGAACAACAATTCTTATATTAAATATATTTTATTCCATTGTTTTCTTGTAGAGAACAACATTATTAAAGTAAATATACGCCGTCAAATATTTCTAAATAAATATAGAAAAAAAAAACAACGTAAATAAACAGGCAAAGAGTTTCACTCGATTTGCTTTGCAGAAGACTTGACCTGGGATCTGGAGGCTGAGACGCAAAGCCTGGATTGCGCAATTGTGGCTCGCTCTGCAGTCTGCCAAATGTCACAGCTTTGCATACATACATATGCATATTATATGTATGTATGTTTATATATATATTTTTGGAATATATTTTGCAAGCTGTGCGCATATTTTATTCGATTAGACAAGACTGATTTGTCAGGTAATCTAATTTGTGTGGCTGCAGCCATTAGAAATATTACACATACGACCCGCGTGGCGAGTTGTGAGCTGTGAGTTTTGTCTGCTTTGGGGTGGCTCACATTAATAGCTTGCCAGCAACGTGAGCGAGTGTGAGTGCGAATGTGAGTGCGAGCGTGAGTGCGATCGAATAGTACCTAAAATGTAACCAGGCTGGCAACTGGGAGACCGGTTTGCCTTTCCCAAAAATGGATATGGTTTTATTTTGTTTTATTTCGGTTTGTTGAATTTTGTGCTTGACTGTCTCAGAAATGTTGCAATTGCTTTTGTGCGTAATTAAATGTAAAGTCTTGCCGCCTGGCGACTTAATATATTAATTTAATTTACAGGGCGCATAAATCTCTGGCCAAAAGCAAAAACTGTCAAACGGCATGCTTAGTCGCTAGTTGCTTATATTTCCATCATTTCGAAACCAAAGCCACACCAAACCAACCAACCAACCACCCACCCAACCAACTCCAGAGTGAGTTCCAGCTCCAGCCGTAACTCCTACTTCCAGCGCAATGACAAACGCTTTGGCTGCGCCCACACAGTCATTGCATTTGGGTTTTATTTGTTGTTTTTGTTTTGGGGGAATGGAATTGGGCGACAGCCGGTGGCTACTTTCGGACACCACCCACGGCGTTGTCGGCTTTGGGTTACATTTGATATGGAATTTGGTTATTTTTTAAATATATACATATATATATATAAATTGGGCCTTTGGGTCAAGCCGGCCAGCCATACTTTTCCTTCCCTCTACAGCAATTTATGTGTGGCACTTGCATTTTCAGCATTTTCAGCTACTGGCGATAAGCTTTCCAGCTAGCCGCTTCGTGACATATGTTCAGCGAGACAGAGGCACAGCTTTAGCCTGGGGCCAACATCTGGATCGAGTCGCTATTTGAATTGGAAACTTCGTTAGTTCGGAATTTGTTGTTATGACATATGTTATGAGTCGCATAAGTAATTTGGGATCTCGATCTGGACTCGGATCTGGTCTGGGTGTGGCAAAGTGCATTACTTAGCATTTCCGCAGCCGAACACTGATAAATCCAAGTAGATAAGCCTGAGTGGAGATTGTTGATTGACAGCCTCAAAATGTTTGCTGAACTGAATGCAAATTCTACAAGTGCGTCGCTTGACTCTAAAACACTTTCTTTCGGGCTGTTCGCATGATTTGATTTATAGACACAAGCGACTCAAGGCCTGTGTTGAATAGCCATTTGAGCTCTTGACCTCAATGCTCGCAGGAGTTGCACTAGTCCGCCATATGCTAGCCATATTTTATCAATCGAGCACATTCATTCACATAAATTAATCAGTCGCTGACAAATAACCAGCAGAATTACTTAGAGGCAAGTGCAAAATGTTTGTGTTGTTTAAATTTGCGCAATTAATCGACAACAAAACGCACAAAATATCTGCAAGGCTGAATCTATGCATTGACCTGCCCCCCCATCACCCCCTGGCAGACCCTCCCCAGAGAGTGAGACTACAATAAGCTTGGCGCTTGGCGCTTGGCTGACAACCTAGTTTATTTATTTTTCTTTTATTTTGTTTTGTTTTTCTTCTCAGTTTGCCAACTTAATAATGCATCAAAAACTTCAATTTATGGCTAAACTGAAATTCTAATCGAGTGTAGGCCAGTTTAGTATACAGCGCTCAAATTACAATTTGCTGCTATATTAAATGCACACACACTCGCACACGCATATACATTATAGTTTTTCTTGCTCGACACGCACATAATAAATTGCGTATACGCAATGTTGCCGCATTGAAAAATGTTTGTGGCGCAAGCGCAACGTTCGACACGTTGTACAGCTGTCGGACTGTCGCGCTGGCGGCTGGCGGCCGTACGATATGATGTCGAAGCTGCACCGCCCCGCCCCTGCCTCTGCCCCTGGGCAGGTGTAACTCAATTCTAACGGAAAGTTGCCCGCAATTAATTAAAATGTTAATTAAATGTCACAGATAAAAGTTCAATCGGTCGACCATGCGCAACAGTAGCCCAACACATACACACACACACACAATGTTAGCTGCCCACGCCAATTCATTTAATTATCTCATTCAGCTGTGTCTGTGTCGGTGTTGCGGTGTCAGTGTCCAGATAAATCTGAAGCTGCGACTTGTTATGATTGCCCACAGCTCAAAATCAGGAAAATCATGCAAAAACAAAAGTGATTAATTGAGCTGCTCTGACGCTCTAATTACAGCGCGCATTAGTAGACAGAAGTATTTAGATTTGTGTGGGAGGGAGTGAGAGAGAGCCAAAGGGAGAGTGACAGGAATAGTGAGATAGAGAGTAAAAGTGAGAGAAAGGGAGGGTGGCAGAAGGAGTAAGAGTAAAAGGGAGTGTGATGAGTTAGAGAGTGAGAGGGGGAGGGAGACCAAAAGTGAGAGTGAGTGAGCGAGATAAAGAGATAGAAAAATTGAGAGAGAGCGAGAGTGGGACTGTCTTCTTATGGAAGAGTCATAGTTTATATTATTATATTTTAAGTGCTTATTTATTTATTTGTTTTTTTTTTTTTTTTTTTTTTTTTTTTTCGAAACTGCCGTAAATATGACAGAGAATTGTTTAGCTATAAATGCATCATATATGTATGAATATATTTAATGCAATATTTTAAGCAATTAGCTTGTTGCTTATCTTATGCAAATTTTTCATAAAATATATATCATATAAATCTATTTCACGTATTTTATAAAATAAAATAATAGTAAACAAATAAGACAACTGCAACGGGACTTCAGTTGCAACAAAAAGTATTCGGACACAAATGTCTATATTTTAATTAATTTAAAAGAATAAAAGTTAAGGGCCTCTGCATCCAGTGCTTGGCTCTCTAAGCTATCTCTAATTTCATATTATCACTAACTTCTAAATAAATAATAAAAATAATTAAATATCTGTCTATATTTTAATTAATTTAAAAGAATAAAAGCTAAAGGCCCCTGCATCCGGTGCTTGTCTCTTCAAGTTAGCTTTAATTTAATATTATCACTAACTTCTAAATAAATAATAAAAATAATAAAATATCTATATCACATATACCAAATTACATTCTATACTTAATTTGTCATAAATATATATGATTCAGGCTTCCTCTCTTCCACACCTCTTCACACCTCTTTCATTCAGCTGCACTGCGTGACTTTGTTTCAGTTCCATTAAGCCTTTGCATATTTGCAAACAGACTTCAGCGGCTTATCGGATATGCAATATCATATGATATAAATTCTGAGTAATTACTTTGCCCCGACTTCGATTTGGATTTCCAATTTGAGTCTTGAGTCGGGCTCCGAGTTGAGCGCTACTGCGGCTACATATTTTGGTGTCATAAATTCGCATTCGGATTTGTTGTTTATGGGCAGCAAAATAAATTTCAACATTAATTAGCGCAAAAGCAAAACGTTTAGCGACGGATGCAGTTGCGACAAGTTGTGTGGACGTGTATATATGTATATATATATATATATATATATAGATATAGAAGAGGAAGTCGCTGCTCGAAATTGGGCAGAAATCTGAACCTCAACTGAGTTGCCCATTAAATTATGTAACTGCAACAAACGCAGCAGCAACCGCAAGCCTTGTCTGCTGCTGCTGCTGCTGCTGCTGTCTAAAACGGTTTTTTTGTTGTTTACATGTGTGTCTCGTCGTACTTAGGGTAAGCCATGCGCTGCCATGTGGGCTGCTTGATGCAGGTGCCAGCCATGCCAAAACTGCGCCAATTTTCCACTTTCCACACACATGAGTGGGTCGACTGGTGGCAGGCTCTTCTCTCTGGCAAATGGCTTCCTGAACTGTGACTTGTGTGTGAGAAAGTCGCAACGAGCTCGAGCAATAATGTTGTCGAGAGTGTTTTATGGCCGCGTTATGCAAGCGCGCTCGAAGACGCTGCATGGACTGCATAAGCTACCGAAGGATGTTGTTGCGAATTATGACAATCAAGCATTAATGGCAACAAATCAACCAGAAAGCCAGCCAGCCAGCCATTCAGCCAAACAGCTAACCATATATGCTGCCAATCGACATTTCTATTTGCGGCAAGTTCGTTGCCTGAGTCTTTTGTTCGCGTGCTGCGGCATTTGCTAATTCCTTAGGCATTTAGCAACGTATTTTGTTTGTTGCGCTCTCTTTGTTGTTGTTGCTGCTTACTGCTTAAAAAAAAAACTTGTTAAAATTTGTAGCTTTGCTTTGTTTATGGCCCAAGCAAATAGCCAAATTGATTGTTCACATTTTTTCAAACGAATCCGAGCGCATGCGTTGGATGTTGTTGGTTTTTCTCTACATATATAGCTCCTGCTCTCTCCCCCCTCTCTCTCTCTCTATTGCTACCAATTGGCCACCGAATCGTGATAAAGTTTGGCTGCTTTGCCTGCGGCCAACAGTTGCTCCGATTTGCAATGCCCCCCATTTGGCTGGGGGTCAGAGTTGACTTGGCCAGCGGATTACTCAATTAGTTTCTTAATGATATTTAACTATTGTGCAACGACTGTGCAACGGAGTCTACTTACGCGTGAGATAATGATGCCAGCGATGCTGATGCGTATTCTGGGTCCCTTCAGCAGGCGGTAGCGCAAATCGACGCCGTTCCAGAACGAAATGAAGTACCTCTTGACCTGCAGAGAGAGAATGGGTAAATTAAAATAAATCTGCATAGATATAGATATAGCAAGATATAGCTCTGCTCTGCCCACATTCGTCAGAGACAAAGCGCATGGTTTCATCTTTAATCTAAGCCGATTATGGCCCCATGAGAGATCGCACCCAAACCGCGCAGCCCCATTAATCTCCGCGCGTGAGTGATGTGCATACGAAGCAGCTGTGGCGGCGCGACTAAGAACTGCGCCTCAGCTGAGTCTGCAGACGCAGAGCCCAAGCTGAAATGATAGCATCAACCGCCTAGGCACTTTATGCACGCTTTATATTAAGTCAGTTGTTCACATTTATATTTAGAATCCAAATGGTATTTAATTCTCTTTTGAGGTGCTTTGCGTGCTCTGTCAATTACCCGAGCTAGAGCTCCGATTTATATTCTATTTCGTGCTGCCCGGCTGCCCAATTAATATGTGCAGCCTGTCTTCTGTAGACACGTCGCCTGCTATCTGACAATCGCCGAAATGAGCAGCAGAAACAACTTTTACAAATCTCCAGACTGGGCTTGGATTTGGGACTGTGCAGACTGTGTGTGTGTGTGTGTGTGTTTTTTTTTTTTTTTTTTTTTTTTTGGCAAACCCCAGCCAAGCATTGACAGCTTCATTTGTGTGCCACGCCCTGCATGGGCAGCCTTACGCACCTGTAGGTTGTCACCGCCATGCAGCCGATATCCATCATAGTCGACAATCACCAAGACCTCGGGATAGATGACGTACGGGGCTTGGCGTCTGGGGCGCACGCGTGACTCTGAGGTTTGGGGTTCGGCCGGCTCTGCCTCGGTGTCCAGCTGGCCCTCGTCCTCATCGTTGAGGTCCTCGAAGTCGGGACTGCTGCCGCTGCTGCGTCGACTGCGATGCTGACGCCGCTGCAGACGCTCAAGTTTTTCGCTGGCCAGCAAATCGTCGGGTTCCATGAAAGCTAAAGAGAAGAGGGGAGAAGAGCAGAGAAGAAGAAGAGATGGAGACAAGTGGAGCTTAGTTAAGGTTGACTAATGAATCGCAATGCAGTGCAATGGCTTAATTATTTTTTATTATTATTGAGCAAGTCAGGTAGCAGTACATTTAACTGTATTTAAAGTTAATTTTTGGCTCATTATGAGGCAGCGCCCTGGCAGACGGCGCGAAATTGTTTTCTGCAATTGCTGTAAATGCTGAAATACCATCCATAAAGTAGCCGTGTTTATAGGGCAGCTGAATTAACGCGTTGGTATTTTGGCGCCACCGACCGGCACCTCACTTGATCAAAAGGTAAATGCATTCGTCGAAGGACAACGTCGATTACTTCACCGTCTACGGCGACATCGAGAGTTCGTGAACCCGCCGTAAGAGCCGCCAAAACAGCGAACAGGAAATGCTAATCATGTGCACGTCGATCTCGCGCTCTTCGGCGCGGCTCGCTGACGGACAGATTTATGCTAGAGCTTAGAGCTCGTTTCTAGTTCAATATGCCCATTACTAATACAGATGCAGAGGCAGATGCTGCAGCCGATAAGCGCCGCAGCGGCACAAACGAAGAGTGATATGGGTATCAATGCCAGGCCAAGGTGAGGGCAGAGCCAAAGAAGTTACGCTATGATAATTCATAATAGATGACTGCGGCAGCAACTCGGACTTCTGGCCCATATATCAAGACTGGAGTATGTGGGATACTTACCAAAGTCACTCAGTTGATCATCGGCCGCAGAGGCCGCACGCTTGAAGACAATGTGATGGGCATGCTCCTTGTTGGGACTCAGCTCGTGTGGCAAAGGTTTAATGACCAGATCGTGACCAATGCTGCCCTCCTGTAAAAGAGTTCCAAATGCAAAGAAATCCATATTAATACCCGGGTCAGAAGCGAGCAAATTGAATGACGTAATTTATAGCAACTTATAAGTAATGGGAAAAACAGAAACACAAAAATGAGCTAAGCTTGTGGAACTAAAAATTGTTTCGAGTTTTAGTACTATTTAGCTTTTACTACTTGAGGTGGAACTAGAAACTTATTGTTGCTCATATATTACTAATTTATATGCCTATTATGCACTATCTTAATGGAGGATTATAAACTCTTAAACAGCGACTAAATTATAATAATTATTTAGTAAATCATTTCAAATTTTTACTAAGATATATATTATTATAAAATATTTTTTTATTAAATGCAATATTAGCCTTTTTAAATTATTTTTTCAATATTAATAGTTTAAAAAAAATATTTTAATCTATTTTAAATAAATATTTTTATTATGAACAAATTTTATCTTTTTTTTTTTGTTTTTTGTTAAAAAATATAATATTCAAAATTATTAAAAATAAAATATTCAAAATTAAATAAATAAAAAAGTTATATTTTTTTATAACATTAATTAAGTTTTATGTGTTTATAAATTTAAAATATTTTATTTATTTATTTTATTGTTGTATATTTTTTATTTTACACAATAATCTAGAACTTTTGTTTGTTTGGCATTGCAAATATTCATCCGCAACCTCTGACAGGTGCACACAAGCTGCGCCTTGTTATTATTATTATTATTTTATTTTTTTTTTTCAAGAAATAAAAATGCACTTGTGGCTAATACAGCTATGAGCCAGGTATGAATGAGCTGGCTTAGAGCGATCATAAAAATTAGTAGCGATTTGCATAGCTGCACAATTTATGCAAAACATTTGATCTAGATAAGAATGTTTCTTGGGCGGTTTCACTGTGTGTTGTGTGCCACGGTTTTTATCGCCTCTGTAATTGCAATAATTAACAGCAAAAGAATATAAAAAAAAAAATGTGCAAGAAAATTGAAAATCAAATAGTCGCTAAGACTAACCTTGACAAAGGTTAACTAATTAAAAGCAATCTACTTAGAGTTGGCTTTATTTTTTTTCAGTTGTTTTTCAGTTGATTTTGCCAATTCATCAGGCTAAACGTCACCCACTCGAGCACGCCCCGCGGTTATATGGACCAATTAGATCTTGGCCACGCTCAGACAATTCATTGCGATTCTATATGCTGTAATTAAAATATTAAATATAAATTACAGCAGTTACTGGCAGCCGCAGCAGCAACAGCCGCAGTTTGCGTTATTAATGTGCCCAAAACACGAACTTGGCAAAACGGAAATGTGACTGGAATTTGAAGTGGAGCGCTGACTCGACGGCAGCGGCTCAGCTGACTCAGTTGGAATGATTAAACTTGATTTATATATGCATAAATATTTCTGTAGCCATAAGACGCAATTTGATGCATTAACTAAAAGCTTCAAGCAAATTATATTTTGTGTGTGTGCCAAGAACCAGACTGTGCGGTCTCTCCATATTATTTGGTTTGCTTGCAAATGTCAAAGGAAACGCCAGAGTTCAATGTCCTCGGCAGACGGACGGACATCTCTGCTGTGCCATAAAACAAATTGCCAAGCCACAAATTGCCATTGATGACAAGGCAAAGACGGCCACTTCAGCGGCGACTGCCACTTCGACTTTGACTATGGCTTGTTGAAGTCGACTTCAATGCCGAGCAAGCATCGTGGCAAAAAAAAAAAAAAATTTGCAAAGTGCGTTTCGCCAATTGCAGTCCAGCTGCAGTTGAGTTATGAGAGATGCTTGAGCTTGCGACATTTAAATGCATTTTTTTTTGTGGCGCACGGTGCGTATGATAAATGTGTCAGAGAAGCCATCGAAATTGGCATTCAACTTGAAAGCGAGTTTCGAGTGCGCACAGGTGAATAAAGGGCTGAGCAGCTATAAATTAAATACAAATTTCAATTTACTATAAACAAAGAAAGAAAGAAAAAATATATATTAAATATATATATAGATGCATGTATATTTGTCATAATTTATGCGCGTGTGCATAATTCTGTTGGCGTGTGCAGTGGACAGGCGTATCGCCATCAGCAATAGGCGCAACGTTTGCTCGTTTTTTTTTTATTATTTTACTTTATTTTATTTTAATTTTTTTAAAGAGACATGCTACATATGCATGTGTTCCGCCTTTTCTGGCAGTCACAGCAGCAGCAACAACAACAGCAACAATTTTGGCCGTTGCAACAACATTTGTCCGACTGCTTAAACAGGCTGAGGCGAATTTTGTTTTGTTTTTGCTATTGGGCGTGTGCCGAGTTCATTTTTATTTATTTATTTTAATGCTTGAATGCCTATTGAGACTGCAGAGATAGAGGGTATATTGACTGCTCCTAAGTGTTGGTGAGCGAGAGAGAGAGAGAGAGAAAGCAGGTCGCTATGATGCTTTAGTGTGGGTATTTATATATATTTCAATGATGATATTTTATACGAGACAGGTAGTAAAGCATGCCTCTGTTCTCATATAATTACTGTATAATATTTGATTGAATTAAATATATTGTTATAAATATATTAAATATATATATTTTAATATTCTAAGTCTTTCAAATCTGTTTTCTGAAGTGCTTCTCAAAACGCAGTTGAATTAGATATAATAGTAGGAAAATAATTTAAAATAAGCCTAAAATGAAATAAAAATAAAAATTATATTTTTTCGGATATACAATATAAAATAAAAATATATATAAAAAAATATATTTTCTTTATAAAAATAATTATAAAAATAATAATAATTTTATACATATATTTTTAAAATTTTTTTGATATTAATATATATTTTTTATAAATTTGTAGTTTTTTTTCTAGCTTTGGTGTGCATTCCAAATATTTATCATAGGTTGGCTAAAAAAGCACAGTATGAAAATATATAAATAAAAGCTCAAAATAGTTTAAAATATTCTTCTTTTTTTTTTTTAATTTTCGCTTAAAACAACATGCATTCCACTCTGAGTATATGAGAGAAATCTTTTCCTAATTAACAAACGCCTCAGCTTTGCTAGCAGTGTATCAACCTCAGAGTGGAATACTGAATGACAATGCTTGGTGTGTTTAGTGCTATTTATACTTGTTCTGGCACTAGCTCTCCAAAAGAGTTTGGTCTGCTTAGTCTGAGCTGAGCTTAGTCTGAGCGGAGCACTTGAGTCAGCTGTAGAGGCAGTATTCAAGAGGTGTCAATTGGTACGAGTTATGTGAACGATTGAAGAGAGCGCATGCTGGAGGTACAAAAATTTCATACTAATACCAACAAAGTTACTCAATGAATCATAAGAGAAGAGCAGCCACAGCAGCATTCTTTATAGGGTATCTGCTTAGCCACTCACACATGCTTAACGCGCTCTTGTGGTGTTTCTCTGGCAAATTTATGTTGCTCTTTGAAATTTATTTGGGATTGTTGAGCGGAGTTCTTTGGGCAGTCCGACAACGACGACGACGGCGACGCCTATTATGTAATTTTGCAAATGCAGCAAGTTGTTATTTAAGAAAATAAATAAAATATGTCTAGCTGCGGCTGTTTATGCGAGAGTGCAATTAATAAATTACTAGACTATTTATTTATGCTGCTGCTGCGTGTGTTGAAATTGGACTGAGACTAAGGCCTCGCATGGCCCAAGTCTTTTTTTTTTTTGTGTTTTCAATTAATTGAATGTGCGTTAGCAGCACGTGCCACTTAGTTTATAGTTTGATATATGTTGCAAACAGGGAAAACAGCAAATTGCTTTCAAAGCGCACAGTATTCGGTTGGCTTTTGGGTGCTCCACTGCACTGCAAATAAAGTTGTCCAGTTGTTCGACCGTCCGTCTGTTCGTCTGTCCGGCTCTATACGGCTGTCTAGTTTATGTAATCACCCACAACATGATTGTTATATCTTGTTGCCCGTTGCCGCGACAGGCGCCGTTATTTATTGCAGACTCAACGCAATCCCAGACATGTTTAGACTGCTCTCAGCCTTTCACACACTCACACACACTCAGACTCCGACTCTGTCAGTCAGGCGAACTGCCTGTCAGTTCGTCCGTCGTCCATCTGTCCATGTGACAAGCAAACAACAGAGTGGCACCTGCACAAGTGAGCTGCTAAGCTCCAGCCACGCTCCAGCCACGCCCAGCATGGATAGCAATCGATTGGCAATGCTGTGAAGGATTTGGGATGCGATGATAATAATATTTGGCATTTCGCATTCTCTGCCCATTCGCTTGTCTAATTGCTTTTTAATTTCACATAACGAGCACACACATTAGTAAAATAATTTAATCATTTTTCATTATTAACATTTTGAAGTTCAATTGTTTACATTCATCATCAGCTCATCTCATGCATTGCAGCATCTGAGCCGAACTCGCCCGCCTCAGAGTTCAGTGAACTGAGTCAGAGACTCTGAAATTAACTTACAATCACAATTAACACCTTCGGATGTTGGTTTTTATTTCAGCTTTACGTTTTCCTCTCTTAGGCTTCACTCTGCAAAAGCTGATTGAAAATTGACAGCCAGCGGAGGGCAACAAAAGAAATCGTTTGAAAACAAAAATCACTTTGTGGTTTGCAATTTTGGAAATTAGCATAATTTGTGCAAATTCATGACACGAGCATTAGACGAACGCCGATGGAGGCAACTCTTTTGATTGTTAACTTGGCTAGCTGAGTGTTGGCTTAGACCGAATAATTTATAATATTTTATTTATTTCTTTATTTAATTTTTTTTTAAATTAAATTTATTGAAGAAACCGCCTTGGGTTGCCCACGAACTATTTATATATTAAATTAAATTTTAAAAAATTAAAAGAGAATATAATAAATACATAAATATTTAATAATGTATTTTATAGAATTAATTTTTAAATGCCATATTAATTAATTTGGTTTCTATTATCAAATTTGATAATTTATAATTTATTTTTATTATATATAAAAAAAATATTTGACAAATTTAATTATAATTTATTTATTA